GAAAGAATTAGATATCAGTCAGGGACAGGGCCTATACAATCCATGTTGACCGTGATGAAAACGAGGTTAAAATCAAATACATGGCAAAATAAAAATACTTCTCACTGACCTTTCCAAAAAATACCAAATTTGGATCCGCATTCATAATATTTTGTGTGGTGTTAGCACTTCTATTCCGTTAGGAAAGACGAAGAGGAACTTCCGTTTGGATAAATATGCTTACATGATAAATACGTTACAGAGAGACATAAGGATGTGTCCAAATACTAAGTAGAAGTAACTAGTAACTTGGTCATGGCTTAACTCTTGGAAGATATCGTCTGACTTTAATTCAAGTCAATGTCTAATTATTTAATTGTTGGAAGAATACAAACGTTACAGAATCAAATCATTTTTACTTAGAATTAATTACATCAATAGTATTTTTTTCTCTTATTATTTTGGTCCTGCTTTTTCCCTTTTTAATATCCATTCTCCGTTATTGGTACATGATCATTATAACTTATATCAATACCCAGTCTCCTCTGCCCTGGCCACGCAATATATAATCCGTTTACAAAAAATGTCTCGCATCTACATGATCATAAACTTTACTTGTTTGGTAAAAGATTAAATGTTGTAACATTAGTGAATCGGAGTCTCCTCTGTAGCAGTTTTGTAACTGCAAAACAAGAAAAAATAAGTTATGTGCAAATTATTGTCTTTTATGAGGGAGCGATATCTGAAATTATATCCTCGCATCGCTCCCGTTAACTGATTTGTCGCTTTCACGCGACATATCAGTAAACGGGAGGGATTCAAGGATACATTTTGATTAGATTGTCATACTATCTGCCGAAGTTTGTGAAGAAGATAAAATGTAAATCAAAAGTTAATTATTAGAAATTATAGGGGAATAATGGTCGTAATAGTTGAAGCGGCACCACAATCAGCTGCATACAGAGTCTGGCGTTAGTTAAACCAGGCTAGCCCGGGTTTCCTCTGGCCCTAACACCAGACTTAGACATTTTAACATATATAAATGTCTGGTTAGAGGAAATCGACTCCTTGATAATTTACAACCTGAGCGTTGATGCTTCTGAAATGTTGAAAAACAGTTCCAGTGATTGTTAATGATTAAAAAATAACAAAAATCATAAGTCGACAACTAAAAACTCGGCTCTATGAAGAAGTTGGGAAGAGGGGAGGTAACTCTTGTGATCTAGTTTGTCGAGTTATGCTATTTGAACTGGAGTGGGAAAGTCTAAGGTGTATATTTCTGTTATTATCACGAAAAATGTAATAGGAGAAGAAAAAATGTATTGAGGATAAGATATAAAAAATACAAACCAAAATATGTAAAGTATTTCTTGATCGGTTCCATTTAATGAATATCCTATCCGACCGTTATTTATTGTTTTACCAGAAAAGGTCTTAATGTATTTCTGACTGGTTCCACGTGCGACCAACACGAATATTATTAATAGCAGCGAAGGCCATGGATAACGAGGTAAATATGTATTGAATTTGCTAAGGTATGATTATACTATATTTTTAATCTCATTAAATTAAAAACGTCATCGCCTTCCGGAAATTTAATAATTTTCACACGTTGAAATACTTTTTCGTTTGATTTAATTGAAAGTACACCTGTATTTAAAATGAGTTATGTAAACTGGTAGAGTTTTGAATTGTGTGCCGAACGATACCATCTGTCGCTGCACGGACGTTTTAAATCACATGGATGTGGCACATTAATATTTTGTTTTCTCGTTGTTGAACCATTTATAATTACGTGGAGGTCGTAGTTTTGTGATATTGACTATTTTTTAAAATAGCAGGTCAATAATATCTTCATGAGGTAACTTTTATTGCAACTTCCTTATAATGCTTAATTTCGTATCGGTCAATATCGCTTCTCACGTTTATGCAACCACATTTATTCACCTCAAGAAAAGTCCATAATTGATAAAAAAAATATTATTGTCTCGCCCCTTTGCCAGAAAATCATATAAAAAGTTATTTATAAGACTGCGTTAGTATCAATACATGTGATATAACAATAAAGCGTAAATATTCACTACATAACTTATAACATACTCCAGACAGTGACCAGAAGACGCGATTTACTGTAGCACGACAATCCGGAACCGTCGACACTTTCCGTAACGGACGGTTCTCCCTGGAGCTCGCTAGATATATATTGTGATAATTCACAGATACCACTTTGAACGTCTGTTATGCTGTATGGAAATACCGGAAACATAATTAGTTTAAAATGATTATAATTGGATCCGTACATCATAATTAAAAACATTTAGCATAAGTATCCCTGTGTATTTTGGCGATCTGGTTCTCCGTCCGCCTGCCAAATGGTATTTTGTCTAAGGGCTGACTTTTGCTAACGAGTCTGTTTTCTTTCTCTCCAACCATATATCGTTATGGTCCAATGTAAACTGTCATAGCGGCTTATAACAATAGTTATTGTACTACACCAAGGTACAATGGTGCAGACAGAACGGACGTACCGGTTCACAGACAGGGACATCACAGCTGACATACTCGTATTTGGGTGACTTCCAGGTACCATTTGTGCACCATGTGTCTCTGATATTCGTGCATCAGTACTTTAAAGTGGTAAGCTATCATTCAACCCCACGAACAAAATTACAGAAAATATCTCACCACCACAAATGTGTAGCAGCATAAGTATGTTCATTTGACAAATCGAATGAAACTGTAAAATAAAATGGTATTTGGTTTCTATCATAGCCTCGAATGGCACACATTTCTGTTTCTCCGACAGTAATGTTGTATCGATCGCTAAAAGAATCGGCTCGAAGGCTAATCAATTATGACGCAACAGTGATAAAACGTTGATTATTCTGACGTAAAAACCTAACGTCATACGTTTTACTAGTGTAGTAGGACGAAGAAAAGTGATAAAGATAGTGCCGTCGCTGTGACTCGAACCCGCGACCCTTGGCTCTCCAGCCTGATGCTGGGAAATTCCCTACAGCTGACGCTTGTAAGGCAACCTTATCAATGCACATCTTTTACTATAGTTTTACATTTTTACCAGTGAATTATCAGAATTTTTTTCATTAATAAAGGTCAGATGAAGCGATGGCAGAATTAGAGATAGTTTTGGTAACCCATTGTAAAATACAAATGTACATCATGGTATTTACATAACTTCAAAATTGATGTCATTTTTGTGTGAAAAGTGTTACCATATAATAGCAGCAAACGACAGAACCGCGTAGAGTAACCCATTCAAATCATTGGCGCTCAGCCTTGTTGTCAAGCATGACGTCATTGGAACTTGACGTCAAACATTATACTACTAATTTCTGCGCTATTTTGATGCAGCAGTTTTTGCGCCGTTTTACTTTAAAAACGTAATAAATCGAAAATTAAATGTTTTTTCCCCGTTGAATATCATATATATTTTACTGGTACGGCAGAATCCCACGAGTAAAAATATCCGTATGTTATGCTATATGAGTGAAATATATATGATATTCGACGGGAAAGTATTGAGTCTTCATAATTTGATGCGAAACGCAAATACGTGCCATGTTTAATGACTAAACGCCATAAGTAATACCCTAACGTCAAGCATAATGACCTAACTTCATACATAATAAAATATCGTCATACGTAAAAACCCAACGTAATTACTAATAACCTAACGTAATTAGTAATAACCCAACGTAATTGGTAATTAATAACCCAACGGAATGCGCACTAACCTAACGTCATGACGTAACCTAACGCCGTACCTAATAACGTTACATGCCACTTAACCCAATGGAATGCGTATTCAGTATTAACCAAACGTTACGTCTTACATAATAATCTGACGTTATTAAGTACATGTTACATAGTGATCACAATGTATTTGTATGCCCCCGCCATAAAATGGGTGGGTGGGGGGCATATAGTCTTGCCCATGTCCGTCCCGTTCCGTCCCGTCCCATCCATGAGCGGGGTCCTTTATGTCTTAAAGACATTTTCTAGCTTTATTAACACTTTCAAATATTCCGTAAAATAAATGGCAACGCTATAAGTACATGGTATTATTCGGTTAGAAAAAGGAATAGGATCTGAAGCGCAACTAACTTTTAAACTTTTAATACTGTCACGGTGGATATAACTCAAACCATTCATTTTGATCATCGGGGATGATGAAAAAACAAGAACCATTGTAACGACAAAAACAAACATCGACAGAATACAGATCGAAGTATCAATAACCCGTAAAAATCAAAGTACAGACACATTTTCACGAGTATGGCGTCTGTATTTTTAGGAAATAAATTGAAAAATAATTCTCAGTTTTTTTCAGTTGAATATCATGCATGCGTCCGTCAGAATTTTTCGAATATTTTCATTCGTGAGTAAAGTTGAGAGTAAAATTATCGGCTCAACAAGAAACTTATGTATGTGTATACATATCCTGGTACTGTGTTCTTTAGAAGCTAACTAAAATCGGTCAATAAACAGTTTTTAAAGGTGATTATCTACATTGAGTCCTGTATCAAAAACCTTCAATAAGAAGTAAATTTTAAAGCATGTCGCTTAATCTAAGCTTAGTGTTATGTGTTGCCAGCTAGACACATTAATGGGAATCTTACTTCCCGGGACAAAACAGACCGTCAGTATGTGTCTACTGGACAATGTTCAATATTCTTTTCTCGCTGAAAGGGATCATTTCAATTCAAATGTTAGCGATTAATATTATATAATTCTTTCTTACTGCTATACCTTACGCCATTCTTTATCTTTCTATCTTAAATCGACATTGATCCCCTGTTTTGTTCAGCTTGTATACATTTTAGATAACATTTCATCATTTTATGATCGTAAACCTTATTTCGACGTTTCAAGGGGAGCTACCTTGACTGCGAGGAGAATCTACTGTGTGCTATATTAAGACCGACGATGTGACGTCACGACGATTCTCCTGTTTTCATTGACTGAGCGAGAGATTTCCCGTATTTCTATGTAAACCGCGGAACACGTCGGATGTGCACATGGCTTCTGCTGGATTTTACACAAATATGTTCCTACGAGAGTGTTGTTGAATGTACTGAGTTGTAGTGATACAATATTTACGTTCGGAGGACTAAATCCGCCGAAGATGCGGAGGATGATCGGAGGAAGCAGGCCGATCGGCACCAAATTGTTGTATTTCTTAGCGGTATTCGGTCTGCTAGCATTGTCACCGTCAGCTCAAGGTAAGGGTTAGTTTTATAAACAGGGTTCGCTCGGGGACGGTTTGACAGCTAGTGTTGACATTTCGGAGTTGTGTGTGTCACAAATTATTCGTACTATGGTAATTTCATTCTTCCGTGTTTAAATAAAAATGCTTTTCTGTTGACACTCCTGGAAGGCGAGAAGGTCATTTGTCAGATGTGGGAAGAGCACCCTTTGGGGCCTCCGGATTGACCCCTCTCTAACTAATTTTCGTTTTTGCACTTGGTTGAGTGATTTTGAACCTAATTTACAGGTATTTCCTTGGCTATTTCTTCCGATTTAGATAATCTCAACGTGTTATCAGTGGGCTTGACAGATTTGTTAAAGTCTAACAAGTCACTTAATCGCAAATAAAGTTTGGGAAAATTACGGATACACCGTCCTTATGAAAGTCGCTGTACAGGTGTGTACTCCGTCGAGGGAGGGGGTCTGTTGTTTACACCTGTAGAACCAGGCGCTTAATGACGTAATGTATCCAATTTACAGGCAATCACTATGTAACGGTAATTCCGTTATATCGACGTTTCAGGAACATTAAGATATTAAGAGATTTAGGATTTGCACACCTGTCATTTTAGTGTATACACCTGTCTTGCACCTATCACTGGATAAAATGGCGGACAGACTTGGTCACATGACGACTAACTTAAGGCAGATTGAGATCAGCATTATTGTTGTTTTTTTCAAGCTTTTTATGAATAAGAATACTTGTAAGACAATGACCTTGCACAGGGGCATTTAATCTGATTGTAATTAGTGTGTATACATGTAGTCTCACCTGCTCCACCTGTAGTTCTGTGACCTACTTCAAGTGTATATATAAGTCTGTCAAACTGCGACAAACTGGGACCCATCCCAAGGGATGTCAGCTTTCTGCTGGACGTTAATTGTAACTTGACTGTTTTAATAAATTAAAAAAGTTTTTCACAAGCATAAACTTGAAGTATAATTTTTATGTCAAATTTATTATTTGCATCAATGCAAACAAAGTATGTCATGATTGACTCATAATCCTTATGAAACAGTTTTAATACAAAATATTGGTTATGAAATAATGTACTCCGAAATTTGAGGAATAAAGATCGATGATGATGATGATGATGATGATGACGGCCCATCCTAAAAAAACCTTCAAGGAACTACCCATCAATAATTAACTCTGATGTTCCCAATGTTTTTGCATTTCATTTGATTGTTACACTTAAATTTTTAATAACTACCTGAAGTTGTTTATAAATGCCAGTGTTTAACAATCAGTTATATATCTGTTACTTATATTATGACCAGTTAACTTTAAAGTGAAAATATGATGAAAAATATTTGCTTGCCTTAAACAGTTCTATATATATTGATAAAAACTATTTAGTTTTTTGTTTTTCAGCTAGAATTATAAACATTTTTGGTCATTGAAACCTTTGAGATTTCTTTTTGACTTTATATATATATATACATATTATGAACATATTTCTTTAATCTTTGTGAAATAGTCTGCTTACAATTAAATGTGTATGCACTCGCGAGAAATAATTGAATAAAATATAAGATGCATATCAAACATCAATGTTTTTCCAGAAGGGGAGATTGTGTCCCCCCCCCCCATAAATTTCTATTTTCTGGCTATATAACACTACCAATGGCCCCCCTNCATTAAAAAAAATATTATTTTCATTGAATTGTTACCAATTAAACTGCAAAGATATGGAACACTGTCCCCCAAAACCCCCAAATAAGGGTTTTGTAACCCTCAACACAAATTTTTCTCAGTATTTCTCCATTTTCTAAGGACTGTCCCACCTATGTTTAAAACCTTATAGGGTAAAAAAAATGAAAATCTATAAAATATTCCCAAAATATCCATCGGGAAATACTGATGAAATACTACAGGATACAATTCATTTTGAAGATAAATTTTGTAAACATTACATGCTGGTATTTGAGATACGAGTTGGATGGTTTGGTTGTTGACTTGTTCGTATTGGCGCCGGACTTTACATGTATTTGACATGTGACGTTGGCAGTGGCCTGTTCCTCGCTATTGTTTACCCCCAATCAATACAAGTTGTTGGGGCACGGCGACCGTAAACAAAGCCATATGCCTAATTATTGAGAGTCAATTAATTCTTTGAATAGATTTTGAATTCTACTGGCTATTCTGTAGAAAGTCTTCTACCGCAAATGGCTACAATAAGTTCAGGAATCTTTATTAAATTATACCTAAAATTTAAAAAATATAAAATTTCTCAAAATATTGATTGCCATCATTAAAGTCTCAAGATACACTATTTGACTTGAAAATATGAACAATTTGACCAGCAGAGGATTTTAATTGGCCATATCTCCTAACTTATCTGTTCTAAATGTGCCACGAGTCATCCGAACCTCTTTGTTGACAAGGCTGGTAATTAATTTTGTAAACCACTAGTTAATTGGGGTAGTAGCTTCAAATTTTTACCATTCCATGTGCAAATTCCACCAACTCAATATTATTCAACAAGGTCTAGGCAATGCCACATTTTGACTAGTCAAAATGTAGGTTTTTAGAACCACTAGCCCAGCTGGAGATTTCACTAGTCTCACGTGCACACTGTAAGGCTATCCTTATTGTTTAGCCCTGTGTCACTAGTCTCAAACTATCAGGCTATCCTTATTGTCTAGCCCTGTGTCACTAGTCTCACACTATCAGGCTATCCTTATTGTCTAGCCCTGTGTCACTAGTCTCAAACTATCAGGCTATCCTTATTGTCTAGCCCTGTGACACTAGTCTCACACTATCAGGCTATCCTTATTGTCTAGCCCTGTGTCACTAGTCTCACACTATCAGGCTATCCTTATTGTCTAGCCCTGTGTCACTAGTCTCACACTATCAGGCTATCCTTATTGTCTAGCCCTGTGTCACTAGTCTCACACTATCAGGCTATCCTTATTGTCTAGCCCTGTGTCACTAGTCTCAAACTATCAGGCTATCCTTATTGTCTAGCCCTGTGTCACTAGTCTCACACTATCAGGCTATCCTTATTGTCTAGCCCTGTGTCACTAGTCTCACACTATCAGGCTATCCTTATTGTCTAGCCCTGTGTCACTAGTCTCACACTATCAGGCTATCCTTATTGTCTAGCCCTGTGTCACTAGTCTCACACTATCAGGCTATCCTTATTGTCTAGCCCTGTGTCACTAGTCTCACACTATCAGGCTATCCTTATTGTCTAGCCCTGTGTCACTAGTCTCACACTATCAGGCTATCCTTATTGTCTAGCCCTGTGTCACTAGTCTCACACTATCAGGCTATCCTTATTGTCTAGCCCTGTGTCACTAGTCTCACACTATCAGGCTATCCTTATTGTCTAGCCCTGTGTCACTAGTCTCACACTATCAGGCTATCCTTATTGTCTAGCCCTGTGTCACTAGTCTCACACTATCAGGCTATCCTTATTGTCTAGCCCTGTGTCACTAGTCTCACACTATCAGGCTATCCTTATTGTCTAGCCCTGTGTCACTAGTCTCAGACTATCAGGCTATCCTTATTGTCTAGCCCTGTGTCACTAGTCTCAGACTATCAGGCTATCCTTATTGTCTAGCCCTGTGTCACTAGTCTCAGACTATCAGGCTATCCTTATTGTCTAGCCCTGTGTCACTAGTCTCAGACTATCAGGCTATCCTTATTGTCTAGCCCTGTGTCACTAGTCTCAGACTATCAGGCTATCCTTATTGTCTAGCCCTGTGTCACTAGTCTCAGACTATCAGGCTATCCTTATTGTCTAGCCCTGTGTCACTAGTCTCAGACTATCAGGCTATCCTTATTGTCTAGCCCTGTGTCACTAGTCTCAGACTATCAGGCTATCCTTATTGTCTAGCCCTGTGTCACTAGTCTCAGACTATCAGGCTATCCTTATTGTCTAGCCCTGTGTCACTAGTCTCGGACTATCAGGCTATCCTTATTGTCTAGCCCTGTGTCACTAGTCTCAGACTATCAGGCTATACTTATTGTCTAGCCCTGTGTCACAAGTATTGGACTATCAGGCTATCTTTATTGTCTAGCCCTGTGTCACTAGTCTCACACTATCAGGCTATCCTTATTGTCTAACCCTGTGTCACAAGTCTCACACTATTTATCCTTATTGTCTAGCCCTGTGTCACTATTCTCGGACTAGCATGCTATCCTTATTGTCTAGCCCTGTGTCACTAGTCTCGGACTAGCGGCTATCCTTATTTTCTAGCCCTGTGTCACAAGTCTCGGACTAGCGGGCTATCCTTATTGTCTAGCCCTGTGTCACTAGTCTCAGACTATCAGGCTATCCTTATTGTCTAGTCCTGTGCCACTAGTCTCAGACAATCAGGCTACCCTTATTGTCTAGTCCTGTGCCACTATTCTCGGACTCTCAGGCTATCCTTATTGTCTAGCCCTGTGTCACTAGTCTCACACGATTTATCCTTATTGTCTAGCCCTGTGTCACTATTCTCGGACTAGCGTGCTATCCTTATTGTCTAGCCCTGTGTCACTAGTCTCGGACTAGCGGCTATCCTTATTGTCTAGCCCTGTGTCACAAGTCTCACATTATCAGGATATCCTTATTGTCTAGCCCTGTGTCACTAGTCTCAGACTATCAGGCTATACTTATTGTCTAGCCCTGTGTCACAAGTCTCCCATTATCAGGATATCCTTATTGTCTAGCCCTGTGTCACTAGTCTCGGACTATAAGGCTATCCTTATTGTCTAGCCCTGTGTCACAAGTCTCGGACTATAAGGCTATCCTTATTGTCTAGCCCTGTTGTTATATGAAGTTTGTTGAGATAAACAAAGTTATCAATCATTTTTAAATTTAAATGTTAGATGAAATGCCATTTGGTGACATTTAATTTTATAGACCTGTTATACACACACATATATATACAGGTTAGTTTAGATGCTTCGCTATAGCGTTAATGTTTTTCAATGCTTTAACCTGACAAGGTGATTCCCTTATTAAAATACCAATTATCATGG